CCAAACACCTCCGGTCTCACGCGAAAGCATTTAACATCTAGACCAATGAGCCATCATCTAACGGTGTTGACGTCAAAATTCAACCATTCCACGAAATTATGTGACCATCTTCTATTGTCTAAGGTAGATGCCTAACTCTACCTGACATGGATTAGCTCCACTTCTAACGGCTTCTCACTAGACCTCCAGAAAATCATCTTTGATCTGATGGTCTGGAAGTTAGGCGTTCGCTGTGGTTCAAACATGGAGTATTGTTCTGAGTACCTATGGCTATACGATCCAGCACAGAAGTATCGAAAAAATTCAACATGTTGACTACATGTCTCAGCAATGATTACAAGATAAACATAATAATATTGCAGACCGCTTGTTAGGGAAAACGTTACCAGTGAGACGTTCAGATCTTATTAGAGAAACTCGTCGATATCCTCAGTGATATACAAAAAGGCTAGACTGATAGTCTAAAACGTAGATTCCCTGTCTGTTACCGAGCGGGATGAATTATCCAGTATTACTGATAGCATTTTGTGTCTTTATGATCGTATCTTTATTCTTCCTTTACTACGTAAATCTTCATAGTGAACATTTGGGCATTGGGATAGTGAAGTCTGTGGAGGGCTAATATGTTGGTCGCCCTAGTAAACGCAAATATATATCCTAAAGTAAACAATTGTGCAAGATGTCATTAGTCGAAAATTTACCCTTCGAAGTGGAGTCTGCGACTAGTATCGTCCGAGAACTGGTAGAAAGTCAACACGGACTACTGTGGTTCATTTTTCGACAAACACTATGCAATTGTTGTCATTGATTCTTTTGCTAAGTGGCCTGAAGTTTTTTCTCCAACAGGCTTTAAGAAACATTTCTTTTTGGGAGGGTTCCCACATGGAATTAGTTACTGATAATTGGCTATCTTTTTGCTGCGGACATAGTTACTACCTGTTCAACTGGTGTAGGGTGCGGACATCTGTTCACAGCTTCCTGGCTTTCTTGATCTAATGGTCAGGAAGTATTTTTAGAACATTAAAAACTGCTATTAATTGCATTTCCACTTCAACATTTGATGAATCAGAGAGTGGAGTAGATAATTTTCTACTGAAATATGGAAGAGCTGAACGTTACGTAACGAGAGACCCCATCAAAGTTATTGAAAGGAAAGCTTTTTCGTCCGAATGCGAAGTGTTTAGAGTCTGCAGTAATTACACCTCATGACCACTTAGTGCCAGCTCAGATTGGCTGCAGACGTTAGCATCTAAGAACACCTGACAGGGGCCAAAAGTTCCCGGCAGACAACTGCATGAGGATTGGATGACAATAATGAAGATTTCACCTTTACTAAAACTACAAATATCTGAAAGGTTTGGGATTGTGTGAAATAGCACTCCTTCTCACTTGTCTTCTGACTTCTCAATTGTGACTTGGAGGGTTCTAGAGCTACAGTGCTCAGGTTGTACGCAGTATATCAAGAATCTAAGCTCTAGAAATATCACGTCACTCAGGCCTGGCCTTTCCAGACTTGATAACCCCATCTAGAGTAAATCCGATAAAGCATCAAAAAGAAAATTTTACTTCTCAGTACTGCCATTTATGCTTGCTGGTCAGATGGGATTACGTCCGACTCCCAGATTTTAGCTAAAATATAAGTCAACCTAGTCACTTAATTTGGGCCACCATATTTAAAGACCTTTGGAGCCAATCCATCAGGACCAGCTGCTCTTCCTCGTCTCAGGTTAGTTATAGCCTTTTGAACTTCAGCTAGAGTCGGAGGACCTACTTCAATGTTCCATTCAGACTGTCTGGGAATAGTCGGTAGTTGTGCAGTAGCTGAAGGCCAGCTAAATTGCTTCTTGAAGTGTTCCGCTCATTGTTCTAAGCTTTGGGGCTGAAATCAGATAAGGGTTCCGTCTTTTTTCGAGATTGTTTCGCTTACACTTGACTTATTAATTCGAGTTTCTTTTATTGGTTTTTGAAGAGTTGTCTGGTGTTGCCTACAGCCGCTGCCTTTTCCATCTCTTTTGCTTTCGTCGTCCACCACTGCTCACGATCGATCCTTACACTTTCGTTAACCTACATCTAACTTGTTTTCGCTCTTCATCGTGTTCAAAGCCTGATGAGATGAGTTTACGACAATCCATCAGTGAAATAGACTTAGAAGAAATCCATTGGCTTTTTGGAACCCTTTGGTTTAAACTACTAATAGATGTTACTGCTGTTTCCACAGCTGTTCGTATGTCTTTCCAAGCAACATTTGGGTCAGTCTCGTTTATAGAACTGCCCAGATGTGAACTCAGTTGTTCCTGGAATTTCATTTGGCTTTCTCGTCCTCCAGTTCAACCCTAATTGATCTCATTATTAAAGTTTTCTGCCTCCACTGAGGCGCAAACAAATGTGCGCTCGTATTATAGCGTGATCGGAGTTTAAATATGAATTCCAGTATGAGAGACAATCTTCAATCGAGCCTCTCCAACGATGACTGATGGCAATATGTTCTATTTGAGTCCATCGTTGGTTTGGTACAGGTGGTCTCCATGTTAGACGGTGTCTCTCTTTATGTTTACAATTAAAGCTTGTTCGAAATAAACGATTTTCTGGGCACAGTTGCAACAGACAATCAACATTATCTGTTCGCTGAGCCGATATACTAAAATACCCACCTAAATGTATTTCTCCTTAGTTTAAGCTGTCTAATTGGGCATTAAAGTCACCCGCTATGAGTACTATGTCTGAGCACTTAGTTTTTTGAAAAAGTTCAGAGAGCTTTCTGTGAAAGTCATCTTTCACTTCATCATGGCTGCAGTCAGTGGGAGCGTAGGCAGATACAATGAAAAGGCAACGACATGTGTCCCCACCCTTCCGAGTTCCTACGGCACTGTTTAGCCGAACAGCACACAGGCGACTGTTAACAGGGATCCATTCTAATAGTGCTTGTTCTGCTCTCGTACTAAGTGCCATGCCTACACTTGCAAGTCCATGTGAACTAGTCACAGGGTCGTCAGATATACGGAAGGTGTGTTTCGTTGGCTGTCCATTTTGAAGGGGTAAGGCAAAGTGAATGACCACACTAAGATCTTGTATGCGTGTTTCGGAAACATAGCATATATCAATCTTACCAGATCCTAGGGTCTTAGCCAAGGAGGCCTATTGACCGATTTGACTTAGGGTATGTACGTTGAAGGCTCCAATGTGTGTTTTGGAACGTGGTTTTAGTAGACCTGGGACAGCGTTTCGCGTACTAGAATCGTTGGCCATGGTGAAATTTGAGGAAGAAGCCGGAAGTTTAGTGTTGAAAGTCGAGGTGGGAGGAGTAATAGGAATTGAAAAAGGTCTTGTCACATTGAATTACTTATCAATTAACTTATTTATTTGATTCTTCAGACGATCGTCTTCTCTCGGCATTCGAATTTTCACTTTGTTGTTTTTGATATGAAAATAACAAACCAACCTCCTGTTTGTTGATGTGATAGTCTCTGATATCCAGAATCCCTACTGTCCAAAGAAGAACGCACCCGCCACACAAACACTGGACAGCGTGACCATTAAAGAACTCGATGTCTTTGACATAGGCAAATCAAATGGACACGAATGACTGCATACTAAGTCTAAAGGAATTATCTAATTTCGTTGCGAACCCCTTAAGTATATGTTTCAATCTATCCATAACCCAGGATAATTTGTCGAAAGACTGGAAGAACGCTATAGTAAGTCCTGTCTTCAAAACAGGTACAAGACATAAACCTGAGAATTACTGACCCATTAGCCTAACCAAAGTAGTTGGTAAAATCTTAGAAAAGATTATTCGGAAGGAGCTGTTTAAGTATCTCGATGACAACCAGATCCCCTCCGAAAAGCAACACGGTTTTAGTACAGGCTACTCTTGTCTCACAGACTTATTAGTCGCTCGTGAAAGCTGCTGCGCTCTTAAGGACCAAAAGTTACTCGTAGACGTAATTTACATCGATTTCAGCAAAGCTTTCGATATAGTTCCGCACAACCGGCTGTTATATAAGCTAAGAAATGTCGGGATTGGAGGCAATCTATTGATGTGGATAAAAGACTTCCTAGTTGGGCGTCAACAAAAAGTACGGGTGAACTCAAGTTGTCTAGTTGGGAAGCTGTGCCCTAGTCACCTAGGGTACAGTTTTGGGGTCAGTGTTATTCCTCTTGTACGTAAATGACTCCCCTCGTCTACCATCATCATCAGTCTTGCTATATGCTGACGACGTCAAGATATGGAGAGCGATAAAAAGTAAGGGTGATAGCTAAGAACTCCAAAAAGACCTGGAGAAACTGTCTGAATGGTCTCAAACCTGGCAGTTGCCGATAAATACTTCCAAGTGAATTGTGATGCATATCGGTCATCAAGGTACGGATACATACACAATGAATAACACTGAACTACCTATTGTCCAAACAAGCAATGACTTAGGATTCACCGTTAGCCAAGACTTAAAGACTACTGCACACTGCCATGCAATAGCCATCAAAGGTTTTAGAACTTTATGGTCAATACGTAGGGCTTTTAGTCATCTCGACGCTAAAACGTTTTTGACTTTGTTCGTGCATCCTAAACTTGAGTACTGCATACAAGCGGTTAGCCCCTGCTTTACAAACGACAGTTAACTTTTGGAAAGGGTCCAGAGAACAAAAACAAGGCTGATTCCCAGAATAGAGAAGCTTCCGTATGATGATAGACTGACCAAGTTAAACCTATTCCTGCTGTCATATCGAAGAACCAGAGGTGACTTGATTACAGTTTTCAAATTGCTTGGTGATAGATTCGCATCTGATATTCCCTCATTTTTCTTGTCTTATAAAACAGAAAATGCACGGGGACACTCCAAAAAAGTTCACAAGCCCAGAACAAACTACTCGTCAGCTGATTATCGACTTTCCCATCGAATCATCAACGAGTGAAATTCATTGCCTCAGCACGTGGTTGAAGCTCCATCGGTCGACTTTTTCAAAAGAAATTTGAATCAGCTGAGAGACCATCATCGTCAGGACTAACATAGGCCATCAAGCCCGCTCTCCTTTTAAAGTGAAACTGAACTTGAACCCCAGACTATACCATATACAAACCGTCAAATAACTAGCGAATTAACTAAAATTAATGCAGTCAAGTGACTAGAATAATGCTCATTATATATTAACAAATACCTGTAACCTTAGCGGAGTGACAAGGAAGGATCTCAAATACATCAATCACTTCATACATGCTCGTCCAACAGTTACTTAATATATTAGACGTTGTTGTTGTGCGCGTTGCTTGATATGTACGCTCCTTTTATGTTTGTTGTATTTTTAAGATCGTCCTTCGCCTGGTTTATATTCTGTTTTCGCAGAACACGTATAAATTATTCGGAAGTACATTTCGCATAGTGTTAGTAGTTTGCTTGGATTTATGAGCCAAATTCGGCTCGTAAATCTCAACAAACTGTTTGAATATTTATATTCGAACAATCCTTTTAATTTGAAACATATATAAACAAAACATTGTAAATTAAGTGAGGAGTACAGTTTGTCTGTGTTAGTCCTCACAGTAGTTATTCCTTTAAAGTCCTGTCATTTTGTAAGTCGCCTCGTTTGTGCAGCTAATATTGTTTTATCTACGAACTACTTTCAGCCGGTAATCGTTTAATAAAACTCTAAACTCGTCATTCATCAACTTGTAATCTATCTTTCTCAAAGTATCAATTTCATTTGCGAAGGATGTAATGGGAGATTGAATACAGTAATGCATATGGACTTTAATGCAATATGGTATGATATCTTAAAATGTTTTTGGCAAAACAACTAGCGACACTTAAATAAAAGCACAATGTCCAAAATCTTTTAAAAAAACTGTGCTGTAGCTCATTATCGTCAATTCATAGTTCGTAGCGACCCTTAGGGTTTTTAATATTGTATGATCGAGGACACCACCAACTGTACCGATGAAAGTCAGTGTAGTTAGTATTCTTTGTCACTTTTGGCGTGGAATCACTATGACTACCAACTTTCTTACTAATTAGTCAGTTCATCTAATCTGACATATCGTTCAGAAGCCCAAAACTTCCGTAAACAGCAGCAATCATTTTTAGCTATTCACAGATAAATTGGTATTGAGGAAAACCTAAAGCTCTTTCTTTAGAAATGCGATTCTCGATAGGTTCCTGCCCCAAAAGTAACCTGTCTACACTTACTGTTAAAGCGTTCCCGACCCATAGATGGATGGTCATTTTAATGTTAGACCTAGTATGATTCTGTATCGGCTTCAGACTAGACAGTTATTAGAAGCTCCTCTAAACATTACACCTTTGGGATTTTCATTGCTTTGATCTGTCGCTATTACTTTTCCACCATATAGAGATTTGTCAAGAGAAAGGGATTTAGTCATTTTAAAATTTCCATATCGCTTCAGGTCGATAATGAGTGAAACCCCGTCATTCCTGTTAGTCGTGTTAATAAAAAAGAACAGTTGACTTAAACTACACAACCGTACTAATGAAGAACACGGAAGTTCATGTTTAAAGTATCAAAATACGGTTAAGAATCAGTGTTAGGGTTAGGCGATCGGTTAGAGTTTTTATCATAATAATAATAATACAATGATCCTAAAACCATATTCTCATAATAATTCTTAGCACGATAAGTAATTCATTCGTCCTTGTAGCGTCTCGGTTAGCCATAATTTTTAACACATCACTGTCATTCGACTGTGTACTTTACGTTTACCGGGAAAACAGTGCTTTTATTAGGCTAATTATCACCCTGATGTGTTTATTTATCATCCGAATTGCGTTAATTATCTTTCATTCGGTTCCAAATATTTATAGCGCCCCCGAAATGCCCTGGTACGGCCGAGAGTGGGGAGAGCCTGCTCTCCCTCTCGAAATGCTCTCACATGGCCAGCGAATATATAGCCTCTGCCAGGGAAGTCCTGCTCACTGCCTTCTCGTGGCGGGGGTGTTGTTTACGAAATTGAGAGGACAAAAAGCGAATGTCCGGCGCTTTAACCGGGTTGGTGGATACGGAGGGTCCACCTAGGGGAGTTGGAAAACCCTGATTCCAAACCAATGTTGCACATGGTCTCCAGTATCCTGATGGAACGAATGGCGAATGAACCTGTTGTTGGTCAACGGCTACCATGGGCAGTATCACAGCCCTCAAGCAAATCGAATGAGATTTGTGAGGCGCATATGTATCTGGTGCTTCCTTGTACCAATATTTATGTGTTTAAATAAATAAATAATAATAAATAAATATTTATAGCATTGTTTACATTACTAGCTTAGATCAGAGAGTAGTTCTTGCACCCATCAGTCATGAACATTCACATCACCGTTTAACTTTCTATGTTTTATTGAATATATTTTCAGTAGAGTATAATCGACCAATATACAGAAAATTTGGTTTGTTTTTGCCCCAAGTTCCTTCCTTGTATCTCATGGCCATGACAGTCTTGTGATAATCAAATGGAATGGATAATGTACCATGTTGCTATTGTGCCTATGAAGTGCCTTTCCATGGAGTTTCTTCAGAACATCCCACAGGTCACTTGCTAACTGCTGTTAGAAATTCAGGGGAGAAGCAATTGGTTGGAAAACCTTTGGATAAAATTCTTCGACTTGGATGTTTTGAAGTTGTACACAATAAATTAACATTGTATGGAATTCTGGGTTTATCAAATTGGGAAATCTTATTTGTACCATGTATTAATCTTGGACAAGTAAATAGGGAGGAAATTAATTCTACTCGGTTAGTTAGTTAGTTCATGTTGTCTTTTTAAAACAGTTTAGTTTTCTCATTGTATGTCTTCTGTGCTATGTCGTTTTCAGTTATACTATATCAAATGCGAAAGCATTGTTAGGAAATACTTTGTTTCCCAAACATTTGACTAGATCTTGTTAACTGAAGTACTGCTTGAAAAGGTTGCACGGATTTGGAGCCGTTCACCAAGTCTCGTTTTTGGCTTCCTAAAAGCCACATTGTTAATAGTCATTTCTCAAAGCTACACCAAATTATTCTATCAAAGCTCATGGGTTTCCTATTATAAAGCCATCAGTAGTGGTAACTAATATTGTCAAAATACTCTTCAGATACTATACTTCCATCATTGATGTGATTGATATTGAGTTATACCATCAAGTAGATGACCACAAGAGACTGTGTTTGACAGATATTTTAGTGATAGTAAGGGATTTGAATACACAAATGGAGTGTGTGAGTAATGAGGAAGTTCGGCAATGTGTATTCAGGCACATTGACGATATTTCGATTGGTCTCATCATCGTAAAACACGAACTTCGGTGGGTTGTGTGTATTTTACGAGCATCATCCCAGAGAGTTCCTCATTGTGCATTATTTTCGGATGGTGAGACTGGTTTTGAAAGCGGAGTGGTGGTCAGTTTATAACTTGGTTTTTTAGGATGTTTTCTTTTAATGGTTGACTCCAACTTTTTATTATTAACATAATTTTTTTAAAAACTTTTAATTATTTAAAATCCTCTTTTTTCTTTTTTTTGAAAAAATGTTTATGTACAGTCAATTGTTATCTCAAACACTGCATCGTACAGAGCCTTATTTCTATCATTCATGGATTTCTAACCGTCCTGGATGTATAGGTTTAGGTAAAATTGATTGTTTACTTATACAAGATCGACATGATCGTATATATAAATTTGATCCAATACAGAATCTATGGTTACGTTCAGTGAATGGTTCCAAATTAAATTTTAAAAAGTGTTGGTTAAATGAAAGTAAGAAATTACCACCACATACACCATCACGTTTATTCATATTAACAACAGATTTTGAAGTGTACAATTTTCAATTATGTTATGACAATTTGAAATTAATTAAAATCTCTTTATTAACTTCAAAAGAATCGAATACATTACGAAAGAATATAAAAAGTAATATAAATTTATTTATAAATTCATTAACAAAAAGAATTTCACATATTCGTAGATCTACAGGTTATTTATTAGCTAATGAATATGCAATTCATAATTTGGAAACATTATTAATTGTTAAACAAAATACAAATTTTAGTTCTTATAAAAGATCTAATGTAAATATTAATGAAAGTAATCGGAATAACAATGAATATGATTTTGTAAGTTTAGTTATATCTATAACAATTATTATTATGATTACTATTACTGATAACGCTGGTAGAAAAATAAGCATTACAGACAACGCTTATAAAGAAACGTCCCCAAATGCCCTGGTACGGTCGATAGTGGGGAGAGTCCGATCTCCCTCTCGAAATGCTCTCACATGGCCACGCGTATATAGCCTCTGCCAGCGAAGTCCTACTCACTGACTTCTTGCACCACGGGCGTTGTTTACGAAATTGAGAGGACGAAAAGCGAATGTCCGGCGCTTTAGCCGGGTTGGTGGACATGGAGGGTCCACCTAGGGGAGTTGGAAAACCCTGATTCCAAACCAGTGTTGCACATGGTCTCCAGTATCCTGATGAAACGAATGGCGGACGAACCTGTCATTGGTCAACGGCTACCATGGGACTGCATCTCTTCACGATGCTCCACTGCCTTGTGGATCAGACCTTTAGGTCAAAGGCTCGGGGTGTGGCCCCTTAAGAAAACTACCTGCTTCAGTTTGGGCATCTGAGCAGTATCACAGTCCTCACACAAATGAAATGAGATTTGTGAGGCGCATATTTGTCTGGTGCCCCCTTGTACCAATATTTGTGTTTAAATAAATAAAAATAAATTATAAAGAAACAAGAAAGGTTTAGTGTATAAAAATCATGGGAAACAACATGAAGACTTGAACATCAAAGAAATGTTAAGAATTAGTGCATCCGCACAAATAAATGAAATGATGAATTCTATTGACGATACTATTCCTACTCATACTAGAAGCAAGACAATTTACATTATTATTATTATTATTATTATTATTATTATTATTTACCATATCGCTAACTCACCCCCTTTTATCCCTAATTTGTGTAACCTTACTTTTCAACTTATGCAGCAGCTCGCCCATGGTGGAAAATCTGTCCTATCTAAACGATCTCCAGTCACTGTCTGGTTGAAAGTGAATGCTTCCACCGATTACGAATACTGAAGCAGTCTTTCTGAAACCACGTACGCCGTTCAAGCTGGCTCCCTTCAACGTTCGCACACTAATGCATATCAGACAACAGATAGGGCTGGCTATGTCTTTGGAAGGTCTTAATGTTGATGTTTGTTGTCTATCCGAGACCCGTATTCAAGACTCTAGTGAAGTACTACAAATCCGCTCTCCATCTGTCGCCTCGAAAAGCTTGTTTCATGTGCGCTTATCCGGGGACCCTGTGGCATCTTTGTCTGGTCTTGCTGGCGTTGGTGTCGCACTAAGCGCTAGGGCTGAGGCAGCACCAATCGATTGGATCCCCATTAACAGTCGGTTATGTGCTGTTAGATTAGAAAGTCCCATCAAAGTGAGAAGAAATCGGCGTGAGAAACGGTGTCTTTTTGTCATCTCCGCCTATGCCCCGACAGATTGCAGCCCGGATGCAATCAAGGATGAATTTTACCACCAGTTAACAGTTCTCCAGAAAGCGCGTTCGACAGATATTGTAGTACTAGCTGGAGACTTGAATGCACAGGTCGGGCGTCTAGGCACAGAAGAGAGTCGTTTAGGTGGCCGATGGGGACTTGTTGGTCGCAGGACGGATAACGTAGACCGTTATGCTGCAACTGTGCACAGACCACAACCTGTTTCTGGCCAGCACTAACTTCCGGCACAGTCATCGCCGGTGTGCCACCTGGCGTCCTCCCTCTGCATCCCAAGCGTGGACTCAGATTGATCACATCGCGATCAGCTACCGCCGGCGTGGTTGTGTACAAGACTGCCGCTCCTTTTGGAGTACCTATCTGAAGTCTGATCATGCCTTGGTCTGCGCCAATCTCACCTTACTTTTCAGTGGCCGAAGGATTGACCAACACCAACGGATTGATGTTAGTAAACTGGCTGCAACTTCTGTTGCAAGTAAGTATCGAGCGGAGCTAGCTTCTAGGCTAGCTACCATCCCACCGAAAAGTATAGATGAGCATTGGTTGCATCTTCACGACGCCATGAAAATGGCGAGTAAAGCCGCTTGCGGCTTCGCGAAACGTCCCGCTTACAAGCACTGGGTTTCTTCTGGCTCCTTACAACTAATGGAAGCCCGTCGGTCTACTCCGGGTGACCGTGAGTTTGACCACAAACGAAGGCTGTTACGTAATGAAATTGGGCAATAAGGACCGAGAAGCCTGGTGGTCGGAGCGTGCTAATGAGATGGAAGCAGCAGCTGCATCTGGTGACTACCGGAAGCTCTTCCAACTCATTCGAGCCACTGGCAGCAAGAAGTCTGGTGTGAGTGAAACAATTTACGAGGATGACGGGATGCCAATCACTAACATCTCTCGACGTCTTGGACGATGGGCGGAATTCTTCGAAGGGCAGTTCAACTGGCCTGCTGCTCTGGCAACATCAACCAGCTTATCCTGCCCCCCATGGCCGGTGACGACTGATCCACCAAACGAGGCGGAAATACGCAAGGAACTCCAACTCTTGAAACGTTACGAATCACCTGGCCCAGATGACTTACCTCCGGCTCTTTTTAAAGATGGTGGTGACCTTCTGACTAAGGAATTGACTGTGTTGTTTGCAAAAGTTTAGGAGCTAGAAAGTGTTCCAACATCATGGAATGAGTCGATAGTTATCCCTATCTTCAAAAATGGTTCACGTTGTTCCTGCAATAACTATCGGGGGATAAGTCTACTTTCGATTGCGTCCAAACTATTGGCTTCTATCATTCTTCGTAGGTTGTTTAAAACCCGAGAACGATTGACTCGCGAGCAGCAGGCTGGTTTTCGTTCTGGTCGAGGATGCATTGATCACATCTTCACCCTCCGCCAAATGTTAGAACACCGTCATACTTATCGCAGGCCAACAATCGTAGTGTTTCTTGATATCAGGGCTGCCTTCGATTCGTTGGACAGGACTGTTCTCTGGGATTGTCTATTGAAGAAGGGTGTGCCTGAGAAGTTCATTAACATCTTAAAGGCCCTGTATACGAACACCTTAGGCAGAGTGAGGGCATACAACCACCTTTCTCCCTTGTTCCATTCGAGCAGTGGGGTTAGGCAGGGTTGCCCAATCTCACCATTCCTCTTCAACTTTGCCATCGACGACATCCTGGAAACAGCTCCTTTGGATGTAAGTAATGGCGGTGTGGATATGTTGCCTGGAGAACGACTTCTCGACCTTGAGTATGCGGATGATATTGTCTTACTGTGCGATAATGCCCAAGGCATGCAATCCGCACTTAATCAGTTGGCAATCAGTGTCCGCAGGTACGGCATGTGCTTTGCACCCTCCAAGTACAAAGTACTCCTACAAGAATGGCAGGATTCTCATCCTGTACTCACCCTGGATGGTGAGCAGATTGAAGTAGTTGAGAAGTTCGTGTATCTAGGTAGCTATATAAGTGCTGGTGGTGGCGTGAGTGATGAGATTGATGCACGTATAATGAAAGCCAGAGTGGCTTATGCCAATCTGGGCCATCTTTGGCGCCTTCGTGATGTTAGTCTGGCTGTAAAAGGTCGGATCTACAACGCGTCGGTGAGAGCAGTTTTGCTCTATGCTTGTGAAACCTGGCCTCTCCGAGTTGAGGATGTTAGAAGATTCTCTGTGTTCGATCATCGTTGTCTCCGAAGGATTGCTGACATCCAGTGGCAACACCATGTTAATAATGCAGAGATTCGGCATCGTGTGTTCGTGCGCAGAGACGATAATTCAATTGGTGTCACCATCTTGAATCACCGACTTCGGTGGCTTGGACATGTTTTACGAATGTCGTCCCAGAGAATTTCACGTCGTGCATTATTTGCCGACTCTGGGACTGGTTGGAAAAGGCGGATAGGTGGTCAGTGTATGACATGGTGTCGTGGTATGAAAGAAAGCTGCAAAGGGCTGGCTTGTGTGGGTCCTTCACGACTTCCTGGCTGGGGTCCGAGAGATGGTACAACACAGTGGCTACAGACGTTATCAGATATGGCTCAGAATAGGAGCCAGTGGCGAACATTCTGTAACCTTCTTTTACTATCTCCATAAAGAGTGGTTATGACTTTCTTAACTGAGAGAGTTCTTCTGGTTGTACATTTCAGTCCGCCTTATCTTTTCACCCTTTCTCTTCCTACTTTCATTATTTTGTGTGGCGCATATGTTTCTGGTGCCCTTTTGTACCAATATATATGTGTTTAAATAAATAATAAATAATAATCCGCACCGTTCTGATTATCTCCCATTCAATTGGCAATATTACTCAGTAATTATTATCCAATGATTTTGGTGATATGTCTCAGTCAGCTGAGGTGGCTGCTCACTGTGTTTTATTTCAGGATCGTGGTTTCTCTCTTGTGAATGTTGACTCTGTAGAAGGCACTGCTTCACCGGCGGACTGCGTCTGCATTGTTTACTATTTATGGGAGAAATGGACTAAGTCGTCTGCAAAGGCCAAATCATCCAACTGTATGTAAGTTGACCACAGTAACTCATGCTTCTCTGGAGGGTCAATGGGTGTTCAAGGCGCTGTGACCACATGTTCTGCTACTCTTAAACCTCAGTAACTGGTTTTCATTCTTTGTTTGTGACTGGTCACTCTGGTTTACCATATTTCCCTTCTGGCTTCTTGGTTAAACTATATAATTCTTGAAATTTCCCTCTTTTGAAACTTTATTCGCTGTCGTTACATATTTCTGCTTGTCGGCTGTAATGCTGTTTTTCATTCGTTTGTTTGCCTCTGTATATTCAGTCTGTGTCTCTGCTTCTCTCGTTTTTTTCGTCCGTTGACTGCGGTTCTTCTCAACGTGAGTCTTGAACAGATTGTCTACAAATGCTCGTTCTCGATACTAGTGTTTATTGAGCCTCTGGACCTCCTGGTATGTTGAAGTTATTGCTTCTCTAATCCAATGCAGGCATGTTCGGGATGAGATTCTCCTCCTCGAAGTGCAAAATGTCACTTCAGGATTGGGTTGCATCGACACCTGAATTAATGTTAGGGAGTAATGTAGTTGAGCGTGTTGACCGTTTCACTTATCTTGGGAGTCTCATCAGCCCTTGTGATCTGGTGTTTGACAAAATCTCAGCACGGATACAGGAGGCTCGACTAGCTTTCACCAACTTGCGTCGTTCATGGCGTAGGTGAGATATCCGTCTAGCAACCAAAGGACGGGTTTACTGTGCAGCAGTCGTTCCGTCCTACTTTATGGCAGTGAAACATGGCCGATAAGAGTATAGGATATTCGTAGGCTACTAGTATTCGATCATAGGTGTCTTCGAAGCATTGTTCGTATATCCTGGGACCACCGAGTAAGTAATGTAGTTGTTAGGAAACGGGTACTAGGTAAGGATGGTAAATGGATTGATGAAGTAGTGAAATGTCATCAGTTGAGATGGTTGGGACACGTGTTACGTATGTCTAATCACCGATTGCCCCGACGTGCAATGTTTTATGGTGTATGAGTAGGTTGGAAGAAAGCTAGGGGCGGCCAGACCAAAACGTGGCACAAATCCATGAAGTCACTGACAAGTGGAGTGAGCCATGTTGGTAGGTGTAGACTATCTGGTCAGGATTCGCGAAATGATAGCAATCGATGGTTAGAGACCTTGAATGGCATGGCTCAAAATCGTTTGCAGTGGTGAAGGTGCATCCGCTCTTTGTGTTCTCTCCAGTTCCAATCTTCTGAATTCTTCTTGTCCCTTCCTTTTTTCTCTTTCCAGATTTATTTCACTGGATTATACTCCTTCAATATCATCTTTAAACCCTAATTTTTAGGATTTCTGCTTATACTCTTACTATCTACACCACCATGGGATTCGAATCGACAACTTTGTCTCTGTGCTAATGTGGTATGGCAACTCGAACTGATGTATGTATGTACGAAGTCCTACGTTGTGAGTGTAACTTCGCTAATCCCTTTTCGGTCATTCTCCATAGTGATTTTCACTTCTTATATTAGAATTTTCGCGTCTTAAACCTGGTTCACATAGTCATCTTGAGCTTGCTGAGATTTTAGCATCACAAAGGAAAGTTGTATTAAACTTCCGTGACTTCAGTTTCACCTTGATCACCATCATGTGATGATCTGAAGCCATTTCAGCCGCCCTCTTTATTCGTACATCTTCGATGAACCTTCTGAATTTGTTATTTATACAGATATGATTGATATGATTCTCCTTAGTGTGGTCCAGTGAAACCCATTAAGCTTTGTGTGTGTATATGTAGTGGGAAATGTTACTGCCCATGACCGTGTTGTTGAAAGCACATATATGTGGCTATCTCTCGTCATTCTCGTTCCTTCCTCGTACTCTATGTCATCCTATAATGTCTTCATACCTCATGTCGTCCGTAGCGACCTTGGTCAAGTTTACAAGTGTTGAGATTAACGATGCTATCCAAAGTAGGTGCAGGTGATTTCGAGCCTATTATGTAGGAGTTGAAAGCTCTACGTTTCACCCAATAAGCCACCATTTTTCCCAGTCTAGCTATCAATACACATGTACCAGTTTACCTAGTTATTTTTTAAAGTGTCTATTTAAAGATACCTATATCGTTTTGGTAATCACATCAACCCTCCATGAAATCGTAATAAAAACTGTAAGGCTCTCTGAAAACAACCCATATCGTAGATTTTCATTAAATTGATTGTTAATGAATGAATTATTTGACGTTGTTGACTATTGTCTATACAGGGTTATAGTGGAAATAGAAAGCTGTTGGATATTATCTTATTCAAAAACGTCTTTGAGCGTCCTATTATAAAATATCCTATTTGAGAGGATTACAGAAAGTTGCACCATGCCTAAACACCGTATTATTGGGTGGAAATGAATCTTTTACTCAGAAATACTTCTCTTTGACTTGCAGTACTTATATCTGTTGTGTAAAGATAGTGATTAAATTCAATTTTCACAAAGTTAAAATTCAGCAATGTTTTGTTTTTCTGTATTTATCTATCGTTAAGTTGCTAAGAAAGTCTCTCCAAAATCCAGCTTTACTGATGACAGAGTTCAATAAAAGCAAACTTAATCACTTCATAAGTCCTTTATCTCATTCACTTCAACATCTATTTGTGCCAAAACGTGGCACAAATCCATGAAGTCACTGACAATTGGACTGAGCCATGCTGGTAGGTGTACACTACCTGGTCGGGATTCGCGAGATGATAGCAATCGATGGTTAGAGACCTTGAATGGCATGGCTCAAAATCGTTTGCATTTGCGCAGGTGCATCCACTCTTTGTGTTCTCCCAAATTCTAATCTTCTGACTTCATGTCCCTATCTTTTTTCTCTTTCCAAATCTATTTCATTGGATTATACTCCTTCAATAACATCTTTAAACCCTAATCTTTCACGTAATACTTGTACTCTTACTACCTCTATCACTATGGAGTTTGAGTCGACAACTGCATCTCTGTGCTAATGTGGTATGGCAACTCGAACTGATGTACGTAAGTACGAAGTTCTACGTTGTGACTGACTGACTGAACATCTATATCTATTGTTAGCGTGGAATTAGTTATATTTGTTTTTATTTATATTAACTGTTTAGTATAAAATGGAATGTCGTTCTGTCACACTTGACATCTGGACGGTATAGCAATCGACTATAAACAACATAAGAAATATCCCAGATATAAATTATTTTTTGTTTTCAGGGGGTTATCGAATTATGTTTCATAGATTGTTTTAGGTAATAAAAATACATCATTCCACAGCATATAACGTGAATACAATTTTTACTCACAATTTGGTCTCATCTATATATGCCTTATTTTCTTCTTCTCCTTATACACTAAACATTTGTCAGTCAGTCAAATTTACTCCAATTAATTCATTGACAAGATTAAAAACAACTTGGTATCATCGTTTAAAAGGGAATTATACAATAATTGATAATACAGATTTTGCTTATTGTCGTACATTACCATTGGAGATACCTACAATTGCATTTAAAATGTCTGTAAGTGCATTGCTTGTTATGTATTGTTTTATTCTGTTAATCATTATTATTCACTTTATATAATGCTCCCAAATACCCTGGTACGGTCGAGAGCGGGGAGAGTCCGATCTCCCTCTCAAAATGCTCTCACATGGCCACGCGTATGTAGCCTCTGCCAGCGAAGTCCTACTCACTGACTTCTCGCACCACGGGTGTTGTTTACGAAAGTGAGAGGACGAAAAACGAATATCCGGCGCTTTAACCGGGTTGGTGGACACAGAAAGTTCACCTAGGGAAGTTGGAAAACCCTGATTCCAAACTATTGGTGGATATGGGCTCCAGTATCCTGAAGGAATAACTTAAGGATACTAAATTGTATAATAGTAACCAACAGGTCAACTGAAGGCTTATGATTATATATATACATATATATATATATATTGACTTGGAATACTCAGATGACACAGTCCTGTTTGGCGAAGACGCTGATAAAATCTAGAGTCTTTTGGTAACACTGGGCAAGAATGTCAGTATGTTTGAGATGCGTTTCTCCCCCTTTAAATGCAAGTTGTTTCTTCAGAATTGGCCTGCATTAACACCTGAACTAAGGATAGGGAGTGAAGTAGTCGAACGCGTCGACAACTTCACTTATCTTGGAAGTCTGATCAGCCCTAATGGGTTGGTGTCTGACAAAATCTCAGCACGGATTCAAAAAGCTCGTTTGGCTTTTGCCAACTTACGTCACCTATGTCTAAGGCGAGATATCCGTCTATCAATTAAGGGACGAGTATACTGTGCAGCAGTTCTCTCTGTTCTACTTTACGGCTGCGAAACGTGGCCATTAAGAGTAAAAGATACTTGTAAGTTACTAGTATTTGACCACAGAGACTCTGGGTGACATGTCTCAGAATCGATCACAATGGCGCAGTTGTATACACTCTTTATCTTCCCTTAAACCTTGAGATTAAAATTGCTTCATATCTGTCTTCCTTCCTATACTTAGATCCTTATATACAACCTTTCTTTTATAGATTACCTCCACTAAATTGACTACTTCTATGAATTCGGTGTTCATCTTGTTGTGCTAACGAGGTATGGCAAGTTGGACCGATGCATATATGTGCCTGGTCCTACGTTGTATGTGATTGACTGACTGATATATAGTTACTTGACAGTTATACAGTAAGAATATATATAATGACAGTCTACAAATAGTTGCTGGAAGTTACCCATAATTTAATCTTCTCCATATACAGGAATTCGGTTTCGTTTATTAACTATTTATCTTCACATTTAGTCGTCATATTACTTTTCTTGTTCATTTCATACTCAATTATCCCGTCAATTATCATTATTACTCATTTGCGTCAAAGCGTAACAAATCAAAAGGGAATTTTGTGCCTATATGTGCCTAGGGTACACCGAATACAAATGTGCCACACTTCGTCATTCGATTTGCGTGAGGGCTGGAATATTGCACGGACACCCAAACCGAGGCAGGTGGTTTTCCTAGAGGGCCACTCCCTGAGCCTTTGACTTGAAGATCTAATCCACAAGGCGATGGAGTAACGTTAGGGGATGCAGTCCCATGGTAGCTGGTAACCAACAATAGGTTCATATGCCATTTGTGCCTTCAGGATCCTGGGGCCCATGTGCACTATTGGTTTAAAATCAGGGTTTTCCAACTCCCTTAGGTGGGCTTTCCGTGTTCACAAAACCATTTAAAGCGCTGGACATTCACTTTTGATCCTCTGAATTTCGCAAACAAACGCCCTCCGCGAGAAGGCAGTGAGTATGACTTCTATGAATCAGTTAGACTAGTATGGTAATACCCAATTGGTTCCAAGGTAAACAATCGATAAAAGGTGGAATAAGCTTATTTCCAATTAATAGTGCCTTATGTATAATTAAGCCACTAGAATATCATAAAATTACACTTGATGTGTCTTCAAATAAATAGAAAAACTGTTGTTAATGAAGAATACAAATTTTATGTAGAGTTTTAGCAAACGTAAAATTATTTCATGTAAAAGTGATTCATTTAATGTATACTGATTTGCTTAACAACAAAAATAAACTTCTGAAATAGGACTATTCAGATCTGAAATAGGAGACTTTCGTTTCATCTGATTATTCAAAACCACTTAAACCCAAGTCCACTTATGAATTAATGTATTACTTATGAGTAGTGTAGTCATTTCATGTTTGTAAATTGAGGCAATATCAAGGCAATACGGACAGTATGCACATATGCCAATAAGAGACTAACCAGTTGCAGTCCTAAAACATCAATGGGAAGATTCAAACAAACAATATTAACTGAATTTACACTTCACCCCATTGCACAAGCAAGTGGCTATGAGGACTCAGTAGCTGAGTGGATAACGCGATGGCGTTTGAAGCGAAAGTTACTGGGTTCGAATCTCAGAGTGAACACCAACTCTGAGATGCAGGTACATCCAGCTGACGAGTCCCAAATAGGGCGAAACGCGTGTCAAACTGGATTCCACTACTAGCCACTCTCCATCTTTGCTTATAATGCTTGTGAATTAGGGCATTATCGAGGCAATACGCACAGTATGCACGTATGCCAATTAGAGACTGACCAGTTTCAGTTCTAACACGTCAATGGGAAGATTCAAATAAACAATACTAAGTGAATTTCATATTTTCTTCTTGTTGTATTTCTTTTTTTTAGGTAATCATATTTCGCGATTATTTTGAAGGACACCGATTTCCAATTTTATCATTTTATTATTCAAATTCATTAGTTCATAGTAAAAATTCCAATGTATACAAGAATTATCCACCTTATTCATTGACTACTACTACTACTAATACTAATACTACCACTACTTCCCCGGTTTCAATGCCATTAGTACCCCGATTCGGTGTATGGATATTAAGATCTGGTAATTTATTAACAGATATTAATATTAATCAACTTATTGATTGTAATGATCAATTATCCACATCCAATCAACAAAGATTATTTATAAAACATATTAAATTATCATTTAGTGATCATTTAAATGAATTATTTAAAGATAGAAATATTGCCAAATCAACAGAACAAACTTTCCAAGAATTTTATATTCCTTTCCAAGAAGATTCTTTGAAAGACTTATACTCTACTGATGATTATCCGTCAATGACAACATCAGATCATCATAATTCTGATATTGCAAAGTCTTTAGAACAGAACGGTTTTATTCCATTTTCATTTACAACAGATATATATAAAATGAATCAACATTATGAGAATTGGTTAATACCTAAGCATAATCATATTAAACAATCATGGTTACAATTAAAAAATCTTATACAATTACCACAAATTTATACACCAAATGTCGAGATTTTCAATGAGTTTACAAATACTATTAATAATAGTAGTAGTACCATGAATAATACTACTGATTATGATTCTTCAGTAGTAGTTAGTGGTTATCAATCATTGAATAATGTTGGAACTGCAACAACAACTATTACTAATACTACTACTAATAGTAATGATAATCTACTATTTATGAATTGGGATACATTATCTACTGATTCATTAAGTAGTGATCGTGAAAAAAAATATTCTGGCATATTTTTAAGATCAAAATCAAAACAACAAATGGATCATTTAATGATTAATAAACGTTTATCAACAAGATCTGATTGGCGTAAATTTAGTTTTTCTAATTTACTTAAAAGTGATGATGATGATCATAATAATAACAGACATAACAACGTCATTCATAATACTACTACTACTACTACTACTACCACTAATACTACTAATAATAATAAAAGTAGTAGTACTAATAATATACGTAATAGTATAAGTCAATCATTTAATAGAAATTATCCATATTTATATTTATTAAATAAAAAGAAATTAGATCATTTTGCATTTCAATATAGTCCACATAGATCTGATTGGTATGATTATTTATTATCAACAAATTGGTTAGATTTATTATTATTTACATTAAAACAAGCAACACAATTAAGTCAATTAATTAATCAATATTCAATAAAATCAATAAATGATTATAATGGAACAATTATATTATTAAGTGGACCAGATAGTGGTCGAAATTGGCAACCAATTTTATTGAGTCTTGTACAGGTAAGATTATGTTATATAGATGTATATATATATGCTCTCATATGGCCACGCGTATATAGCCTCTGCCAGAGAAGTCCTACTTTCTGCCTTCTCGTGGCGGGGATGTTGTTCACGAAAGTGAGAGGACGAAAAGTGAGTATCCGGCGTTTTAATCGGGTTGGTGGATACGGAGAGTCCATTTAAGGGAGTTGGCAAACCCTGATTCCGAACTAATGGGAGACATGGGCTCTAGTATACTGAGGGAACTAATGGCATATGAATCAATCGTTGGTGACCGGCTACCATGTGACTGCATCTCCTTCCGATGCTCCACTGCCTTGTGGATCAAACCTTTAGGTCAAAGGCTCCGGTTGTGGTCCCCTAAGAAAACCACCTGCTTCAGTTTAGGCATCTGAGCAGTATCACAGCCCTCACACAAATGAAATGAGATTTGTGCGGCGCACATATATTTGGTGCCCCTTTGTACCGATATTTATGTGTTCAAATAAATTAACAATGTTATATAGATATACAATAAATGTTGGTCATTTGATTTACAGTATAATTATAAAACAGTGATTTTGTTTATAGTCAACCGTAGATGCTGCTTTGATTTAGTGGTCGCATACATATCTAGCGTGATAACTCAGTCGAGCTATATTGTCTAGAACACTTATTCATTTAGATCTTACTATGGTAGGCAAGTTGGCTGGAAATCGTTAAGATAAATTAGCGTACGCGTTGTCGGAGGACAAAGTTATGCTGTTGACTGTATCACAGTGTGATGTCTATAAGATACCTTTATAAGACAATCCGTATTTGTAACGATGCTGCTGTGTTCCTATAACAGAGTGAGGGGTTGGTAAAGGTCATCCCTGTAATCAATACCTCAACTCTCCCCATAGATTTCCGTCTCTTGTAGTAGGGCCAATAAAGTACGGAGCTAACACATCAATAGGTCCTCACATAAAATACCGTCTGTGACTGGCTTTAAGCAGTTATCTTTTGGGGTCAACGTTCACTCTCTGTAGGTCATCGAAACCTCCCGTTAAACCGGCTCCATCTTCAGATTCCTCAAGAAAAGCATCTTTTCATCGTGTGAAGAATCAATAAGTGGCAACCGCATATACACACCTAAAAGTACTGTGGAACATCCTAACTGACTATCTACTCTACTGAGTCGGAATTAAATGGTTCACTTTTGCTTAAAACCAATTATTTTTCATTTTGGTTCGACCATCTATCATCCACTGTGTTCAGTCATCTAACTTCCGCCGTGAATGAAACCCATCAGTTAATAATTCTCATTCTAACTTGATGGATCTGTCTGAAATCGAGGTACTAATAACAACAAGGTTATCATTACTACTGCACAACTTGGGGTCTTCCTGAGATTTTATATTACACAAAAATATTATTCGTCATTTACTGGTAATCAAGAAACCAGTGAAAGCCAAAAAGAACACAGGTTAGTTGTTTTATCGCAGCTATGGAATCCCTTATCAGTTCTCATCCATTACTCCACTGGGGATCATTATTGACCCTTCAGCAAGCTTACCACTTCAGTGCCCGTTGTTAACTGCAATTGTTATCTATATGTAATATGTGCTTAATTAGCTTCGTGTACTTTTTTCGGTCAATCATATTAACACGACGCAAAAAAATAGAATAAGAATTGTATTCAGGTCGGATAGATTTCATGAGTACATGTGAAGAACAGATGAACGACGGAATAACTGAGAATATAGATATTATAATTTAGCCAAAGTGAGCGGGTCAATCCTTACATAAGGACAAAATTGTAGACATTACAGATAACCAGTTAGAGAGTAAATAGTAGACACATAAGAAAAGCACATATAAAGATGTATATGAATATAATTAACAAGATCACAAAATAATTGTCAAGATGAAAAATATCTGTTCAAAAGCCATAATTAGCTCACACAGGCGTTATAACAGAAGCTGCTTCAGTCAAATCCAGAACCTAACTGGTATCATGTGGTTTGGACTTACGATTTCAACCAAGGTGCTTTGCACCCTCCAAGTGCAAAGTACTCCTACAAGACTGGCAGGATTCTAATCCTGTACTCACCCTGGATGGTGGGCAGATCGAAGTAGTTGAGAAGTTCGTGTATCTAGGTAGCTACATTAGTGCTGGTGGTGGCGTGAGTGATGAGATTGATGCACGTATAATGGAAGCCAGAGCGGCTTATGCCAATCTGGGCCATCTTTGGCGCCCTCGTGATGTTAGTCTGGCTGTAAAAGGTCGGATCTACAACGCGTCGGTGAGAGCAGTTTTGCTCTATGCTTGTGAAACCTGGCCTCTCCGAGTTGAGGATGTTAGACGTCTCTCTGTGTTCGATCATCGTTGTCTCCGAAGGATTGCTGACATCCAGTGGCAACACCATGTTAATAATGCAGAGATTCGGCATCGTGTGTTCGTGCGCCGAGACGATAATTCAATTGGTGTCACCATCTTGAAACACCGACTTCGGTGGCTTGGACATGTTTTACGAATGTCGTCCCAGGGACTTTCACGTCGTGCATTATTTGCCGACTCTGGGACTGGTTGGAAAAGGCGGATAGGTGGTCAGTGTATGACATGGTGTCGTGGTATGAAAGAAAGCTGCGAAGGGCTGGCTTGTGTGGGTCCTTCACGACTTCCTGGCTGGGGTTCGAGAGATGGTACAACACAGTGGCTAGAGACGTTATCAGATATGGCTCAGAATAGAAGCCAGTGGCGAACATTCTGTAACCTTCTTTTACTATCTCCATAAAGAGTGGTTATGACTTTCTTAACTGAGAGAGTATGTATCTGGTGCCCTTTTGTACAAATATGTATGTGTTTAAATGAAATAAAATAAAAATCACTACTAAATCACCATCCATTGCCATTAGTAGATAACCGCTTCATTCCTGACATAGTGGAACTCTTGGTCTCTCGCTAGGCTCCCGGGAATTATATGCTGAAATTAGTCCGTAATCGGCATATGAATATTTTAAAATTATACTCATATTATTTGTTATAAGAAACATAAAATCAACTCTTGTAGTATAAATTATACTATTATATATAGATAATATTATCTGCAGAGAATAGAACAATTCTTGGATTTGAAAATTTAATTGAACAAGAATGGATTCGTTATGGTTATCCATTTGTCCCTGATCCAATTGATTGGCATGATGATTCAATTAGTTGTGATTATGATGATGGTGTATGTTTTGCATTATTCATTGATTGTGTTCATCAATTATTGATTCAATTTCCTACAGAATTTGCATTTACAGAGGTACGTATAATATATATATATAAAAATTATCAGAAAGGGTTTTGTGGAGATTTAGCATTTTCATAGTTGAAATCATGAGTCAATTAAAGCTATACCACCATAAGAAAACCTGAAAGCACTGGACGGCTGTTTCGTCCTATCACGGGACTCCTCAGCAGTGCGCATCCATGATCCCGCACTCGATAGATTCGAAAAACCCAGAACCTACTAGTCTCGAGCCAGAGCCCTTAACCGATAGACCACTGAGCTGGCACTGCTGAGGAGTCTCATAATAGAACGAAACGGCCGTCCAGTGCTTCCAGGTTTCCCATGATGGCCTAGCTTCAATTGAATCACGCTTTCAAGTATGAAATATATATATATATATATATATATATATTCTTTTTTCATCCTCACGGACATTATTTATCTTTACTTTTAAAGTGGTTGTTATTCAACAGAATGTAAATTTTTTCAGTGTATTTTCTGACTAATATGCTTACCGTAGATTTAGCTGTTATTCATAACTCAGAAATATATTGTCGAAAATATTTATTTATATAGTCTGAGCCATGTTGGTAAGTGAAGACTACTTGGTTGGGGTTCGCGTGATCATCGTCACCAATGGTTGGAGACTCTAGGTGACATGGCCGAGAATCGATCACAATGGCGCAGGTGTATACACTCTTTATCTTCCCTTAAACCTTGAGATTAAAATTGCTTCATAAATTTTTTTCCTTCCTATATTATATCCTTAGATACAACCTATCTTTTATATACTAACACCACTAAATTAACTACTTCTATGAATTCGGTATTCATCTTTGTTGGGGATGTCAAATCCCCAGAACTTACTTGGTAAATGGCTTAATCTTGTAGTTTTATTTTGAAAATTTGAATTTAGCTGTTTTCGCGCCAAAAGCGCTCTTTTTACCTTCACGTCATATTTCCCACCTGTAAACTATCTTAACCGCTATTGGTCCATTGTTTCTTTGTGTGTGCTATTTACTAATAATGCTCAAGGACAAATTGTTGTTGTATAAATGCGCTTGACTTTTTCCCTTATTTGATTGCTTGTACTCGGCTGCTTACGGAATACATATATATTCCCCTACTTGCCTTGGACTTCTTCATCTAGTTAGCGGGGCCTGGGACAACAGATTAGAATAGCTTATCGTGTCATTGTGTCATTGGCTTTCGTTCGTTACCGCGGAATCGATTTAGTTTCAGACATAACAATCTTGTTGTGCTAACGAGGTACGGCAAGTTGGATCGATGCATAAGTGTGCCTGGTACCACTTTGTAGCTGACTGACTGACTATCAAGGTGTGCAATCAGATAATGCACATATACCAATAGAGACTGGTGAGATACAATCCTTGATTATCAGCAAATGTGGAATATACAAATCTTTACAGTGGGACAATTTGAATAAATCGTAAAGTTACCATTGATTAGTCAATTACTTATTGTATCCAACTAATCTACTGTAATTATCAAGAACACTGGTGGAGACAATCGAATGTATTTATACAAGAACTACAGACTATCTCACTAAATTCTGATAACCATACAATAAACAGTTAATTTGCAAATTAACAACCAATTGTCTCAATGTTCACTCTTCCTTCTGCAAATATCAGTTCATCTTCTCTAATTCCATTGTTCATGCATTTTCCTACCAATTGCGCTTCATTTCAGTTCTTTCCTTATCGGTCTTTTGCCAAAATATATTCTATGTCTGACCATCACCATATACTACTTATAAGGATATAAGTAGACCACATTACACTACTAGTCTTGTATGATCAGAAATATTACAGTTAATAAAAAATAACTGATCATTGAATCAATATATTTTGCTATTACATCCTAAAAACTCAAATTATTACCACTCTACTACAATTGAGTTTAATAGTTGTTATATTCTAGTGTAGTCCGAGTCTACTACTGATATCTACTATTTCTATATATGTGTGTGTAAATTAAGTTGAGAAAACTAAAAGTAAGTAGAAAGCTTCCTTCCTTCTCAGTTCTAATTTCAGTCAACTCGTAATATTGTTCGACTATTAACAACTCTCGTCTGTGATACCTATTTCACTCCCAACATGGTTATATCCCACTAGTCAAGGTTTTCCACCACAATTCCATATCTAAGGGTTCTGGGTTCAATCATTAGTGAGGTCGTGAATATCCACGTACTTGGACGAAGCAATTGCTTAATGCTTCTTGGTTTTCGATGGTTACACTTAGCTAAAGGAGATTTGTGATCTAATCTTTAAGTTTTGATTTTCATAGTTGAAATCATTAGTCAATTGAAGCTAGACCACTATGGAAAACCTGAAAACACTGGACGGCCGTTTTGTCCTATTATGGGACTCCTCAGTGGCAGTGCGCATTCACGATCTCTCCTCGTCTGCGAGATTCGAACTCAGGACCTACCAGTCTCGCGCCAGAACATTTTACCTGTGTTTTTGAATTTATCCTTTATGGAAATTTCCTATTTTCTAAGAATTTGTTTTTTTTTATATTTATAATGTTTAGGATTATTTGGTCTTGTTGTTAGACAGTGCATTAAGTCGTGGTGGTGGAATTCCACCATTCAGTATAGAATTTTCATGTTCATGTGAAGCAGCAAGGCATGTTAAAACAAAATCTATGACACAAGAACAAATTATTGAAAAATCTAATTATTTTCATAATATTGGTGCATGGCGTTCATTTCATAATTGGAATGATATATTAACTAATAATGGTTATCAACTACTATTTAATTGGTTATATTATTGGCAATATAATTCAGATCTTATAAATGTATGTTAATATTTATGAAATTCTATTTTTAAGATTTTTTGGTTCTGTTATATCGATTGAGTGTGAGTGCCCTGTTAAGTATATAAGATGTGATGATTCCCGCTAATTAGAGAAGAGTGAATGATTGATCAGAGCTATGATACACAAAAGCCGTATGAGCAGTCTTGAGTACATATCAGTCCTGCTTTCTGCCTAGTGCAACCAGTTAATTCTAGAATACCAATAACAGCCTCTGTAATATGAATCATTATTCACAAACATACTGAGTTTATATACCAAACAAACTGACCGCATCGTATCATAAAATAGGAAACAACATTTGTACAAGATTTGGCCAAATGTGGCTGTGAATAGGGGGAACAGTATTCAATAGACTGGGGATAACTCAAGAATGATAAATCGTATAATAATAGTCCATGGGTCAAAATAAACCTTCTAATAAGAGGGATACGAATATGAATATTGTAGTTGCTTAGCAATATACATATCATATTGCTCCATAAATAGTTCTCAAAATTACCATTCTTAAGTCTCCATGGCATATAACATTTCCTAATCATTTGATTTAACCTACTTTTTTCATTAACCTGTGTATTATTTATCAAATTTGTAAAGTATTCAGTTTCTTTATGAATTTTTTTTTAATTTTTAATCCTTTATGTTCTGTATACGTGAAATTATAATTTGGTAAGGACTTTTCTATAAATGAAACAAAATTTTAAAGATTGTAAGCAAAGATGGATAGTGGCTAGCAGTGGAATCCAGTATGACGCGCGTTTCGTCCTATTTGGGACTCTTCAGCTGGATGTACCTGCATCTCAGAGTTGATGTTCACTCTGAGACTCAAACCCAGTACTTTTTGCTTCAAACACCATCACGTTATCCACTCTCTCTTTTAATGGAAGTAGAATTCGAATGATTCCATCTAATCCATTCGAATTCATTTGAATGGCTAATGTAAAGGCATTTATCTGTATATATCAAATTCACTAGCAGTTAATCTCCATAGTTCATCTATTATAATAAAGGTTATATGTTCAAATGAATTCAAACTATAATCAATGAAAAAAATGAACGTTGCAGCGAAAAAAATGACTAAAATCCATAGATAGATAGATAGATAGATAGATAGATAGATAGATAGATAGATAGATAGATAGATAGATAGATAGATAGATAGATAGATAGATAGATAGATAGATAGATAGATAGATAGATAGATAGATAGATAGATAGATAGATAGATAGATAGATAGATAGATAGATAGATAGATAGATAGATAGATAGATAGATAGATAGATAGATAGATAGATAGATAGATAGATAGATAGATAGATAGATAGATAGATAGATAGATAGATAGATAGATAGATAGATAGATAGATAGATAGATAGATAGATAGATAGATAGATCTTCTTTCAGTTGTCCTTTTGCCTACTTCATCATTCTTCCAATCGTGGTGTTATTCTGACTGCTCTCTCTCTTTTCCTTCGTCTTCTTTTTATTTCAATCTTCTGCTGGTATGCATTCCATTTCCAATCACTGCTATAAATACTACTTATTTCTGTCTGTATAAGTAGTGCACATCATAATATGCCTATAAAAAAAAGTTAATATCTAATTAGTTTTCATCTATTATTCATTGAATTATGAGAAGATATCAAAAAGGAAATAAATCATCGAATAAAAGTGGTACGAAATCAAACTTTCCTTACCGTATTAATTAATGATAGTTCATTTTCAATAAACAAATATAAAAACTTTTTTATATATAGTTGAAATCATGAGTCAATTGAAGCTAGACCACGGTGGAAAACCTGGAAGCACTGGACGGCCGTTTCGTCCTATTGTGGTCTAGCTTCAAATTGACTCATAATTTCAACGATATATTGAAAAAATTACTAAAACTCTCCACTAAAAACCACCTTATCATGTGCTCACTAGTGACTGGCTCCATGAGATATTTCCTGGAGTTCTAGTGAGAAGCAGTAACCAGTGGAGTTCAACCAGGTCTGCTGGGAGATATCAACTCACTGAAAATATTAGTGAAATGGTTGCTCAACTTCGTGGAACAAATGAAGTTAGACATTAACACCATTGGATGCCGGCGGGTTCAGTGGTCTAGTGGTTAAGCGCTCACGCGCGAGAATGGTAGGTCCTGGGTTCGAATTTCGTGAGACGGGATTGTGTATGCGCACTGTTGAGGAGTCCCACAATAGGTCGTCCAGTGCTTCCAGGTTTCCCATAGTGGTCTAGCTTCAATTGACTCATGATTTCAACTGTATATAAAAAATATAAAAATTACATAGATACTCTAATCACATCTCTTCTATGTATATTGATTTTTATCAGAAGGGGTTTTGTGGAGATTTAGTATTTTCATAGTTAAAAGCGTGAGTCCATTTAAGCTAGACCACCATAAGAAAACCTGGAAGCACTGGACGGCCGTTTCGTCCTATTATGGGACTCCTCAGCATTAAGATTAACACCGTTGGATGCCGGCTCAGTGGTTTATCGGTTAGGGGCTCTGGCTCGAGACTAGTAGGTTCTGGGTTCGAATCTCGCGAGTGCGTGATCGTGGATGCGCACTGCTGAGGAGTCCCGTGATAGGACGAAACGGCCGTCCAGTGGTTCTAGGTTTTCCGTAGTGGTCTAGCTTCAATTGACTCACGCTTTCAACTATATTGATTTGTGCCATCAAATAGATAAGAAGGACTGGAGCGCAAACATTTTTAGGTCAACTGTAGGATTGTTTACCCAAAGACTAATTGTCTCTGAAATACTACAATGCCTAGATAATTCCATTACAAATCCAGGACACTAGATGAATATTTCTGAATCTGTTAAACAATAAAAGGTACTCTTAATTATTAGTCAATAAACATGTTAGTACAATGTATTTCCAAGTAGACAACATACAATGATAATTAATCTACATTTTTGTTAACATTGACACTTTTGATTGCTTTAGTGATATTTTTATTTATAATTATATCTAACCAGATTACTCACGCGGAATTTTTTCACCCGTTGTTAATATTTATAATTGAAATTTCACCACTCATTAAGCCCCCAAATGCCCTTGTACGGCCGAGAGTGGGGAGAGTCTGCTCTCCCTCTCGAAATGCTCTCACATGGCCACGCGAATATATAGCCTCTGCCACACAAGTCCTACTCACTGCCTTCTCGTGCCGGGGGTATTGTTTACGAAATGGAGAGGACGAAAAGCAAACGTCCGGCGCTTTAACCGGGTTGGTGGACACGGAAAGTTCACCTAGGGAAGTTGGAGAACCCTGATTCCAAACCGATAATGCACATCTGCTTGAGTATCCTGAGGGAACAAATGGCGTATGAATCAATTGTTTGTCACCGGCTACCATGGGACTGCATTTCCTCACGATGATCCACTGCCTAGTGGACTAGACCTTCAGGTCAAAGACTCGGTGTTTGACCCTCTAAGAAAACCACCTGTTTCAGTTTGGGCACCTGGGCAGTATCACAGCCCTCACACAAATCAAATGAGATTTTGTTTAAATAATAATAATAACTCATTTTTTTCCATATGCACTTCTTGACCAAGATGACTTTGGTAGTGGTTTGGATTCATAAGATTTAGTATATGTATTTTGGTTTATGGACCTACGTTTCATGCTACTCAGGACTCATCATTATTTCGAGACTAAAACTCAATACTTATCTGAGAGATTACCCTCAACCACAATTTCAAAGTATCCTAAGATGTGTATCCTGCGAAGTAATTGTTTCTCGTTGCATCATATTTTCTATAATTAATCATTTTTATTACTATCATTAATGCTACTACGAATTCGGTATGCATCTCACTGTACTGATATGGTGTAGCAACTTTGAACCAATACACCTAATGTCAGGCTATTCGTTGCTTTTGACACTGACTGATAACATTGATTTACCTAAACTACAATAGTATTATTTGTCTACAGGCTTGGTTTTATTCTATTATACAATATTCTTGTCCTATTTTAGAATACATCAGATTATACTAAACTTATACAAACTATAGATCAATCTACACGACGAATACTTACTCCAATTCTATCACCATTATATTATCCACGATTTTGGATTCATGCATGGTATCGATGGAATCGTTCAACCCGTTTAACTAATGGTGGTGGTTATGCATTCAATGCTGCTTATTGTAGAAATTTACTAAGATCAACTGTTAGCAATGATCATCATCAATTAATTATACCTCGTACAAGTACTAGCCCTTATACCGGTTGGTTATCCGATGAATCTATTCTGAATGCTTTAAATCAAATTGTTTTACCAGCACCATTGGATAATTTTTATAAAACCTTGTATGAAATAGCAAATTTATGGGATAATGAATACTGGGACACACATCTTGTTGATTGATTAAAGAACGATCATAGAATATGTAAACCTACATATGTATGAATAATCTCATTCCCCTTTGCTACTATTTTATTTATTTGTTCTCAGATAATGATAATAATAGAAAACTGTTTGCCTTTTTTATTTTTAAAAAACCGCCAAGCAATCTCATAATTTTTGTTTTAATTATTTATGACTTAAACAAAAGGGATTAATCCAGCATTATTGATCTAAACCAGTTTTTATTTACACAGTAACTTTCTTTTTGATTTTTTTCAATTTTGTACTCCTTTTTTTTATTACTTATTTACCAGTAATTTATTGACTTGTGTTTGTAAATCTAATTTTTTTTTAATAAAAATTGTAATAGATCATTATAAACATTATACTGACCAGTTGCAGTCCTAAAACATCAATGGGAAGATTCAAACATACAATACTAAGTGAATTATACTGAATTTGTTTACGGATGAACATGATTTGCAACAATTCTGTCTGATAAGATCTCGGAATGAATTCAGAAAGTTCAGTTGACTTTTGTCACTTGTGAATTATCAATCTGGCAATGAAAAGATGAGTTTACTGCATATCAGTTCTCACCGTTCTAGTTTATGAATGTGAAACAAGGGGATTATGGGTAGAAGATATCCGTAGGTCAGTAGTATTCGGTTACAGGCGTCTATGAAGTATCTCCCGTGGATTAAGAGACCATAGAGTTAGGAATTCTGAGTTCAGTCACATGGCACTAGGTTAACATAGCAAATAGACTGATGAGATGGTGTATGTTTATCATCTGAAGTGGTTGGCACATGCGTTATGTGCACCCAAGCACTGGGTACCTGAACGGTCGATGCTATCTGAAGCCGTATGTTGAGACAAAGTCAGGAGTAGGCAAACCAAATTGTGGTTAACTGTTGATCTTAGCTATGTCGTTGGATATAGGCTACTTGGTATGGGTTCGAGCATTTGCCATAACTATCTGTTAGATACTTTGATTGATACGGTTCATGATCGTTTACATTGGCACAGCCGCATTCTCTCTGTCTTCATTCCTGTCATCTCTTCATACCTTTTTCTCAACCGTGTTTCCCACTACAACTATTGTTGTTCCTCCAACTGCTCTATGATTTGTTTTGAAATAATTTTATCATTGTGCTAATGTGGTATGGCAGCTTGAACTGATGCATATAGTACCAAGTTCTGCGTTGCATGCAACTTGTTTTCGAATTCTAAATTACATATTTGGCAACCAATAAATGCCATAAAACATCAGTATTACTTGGCACCCTAAGGAAATTACATGCAGTGTACTCTGACAGGCTAAAACTCATGGATTGATAGAGCGCATATCTGATGCATTTTTCGGCTAACTAGAAACGGCAACCCACAAAGAGACCTTCCGCTCATTATTAGAAACTTACTTCCCAGTGAGTAAAAAGCTAAAACGAAACCATCCCTAATGATTCTTCACTATGTAGTGCTAATAACTTTAACAAAGTTATTGTTTACTGCAATCTTAATAAAGTCACCCAATGCCCAAATACTCAAGACACAAAGATGCCCTGCTTTTCAGCTTGTACAATAAGAATTATTTTACTCATGTGTAAGTAGAAAATTTCAGAAACATCAACTGACTCCTTTCATAATGAAATTTACCTGATATGCTGTATATTCACCCAACAGACACACGTAATATAAATCCCTGCACAAGCTCAACTAGATAAACTCACTCGGAATGACTTTGGACATAATAAGTGGTACTATCATGGAATTGTTGCAAGAACAACCCGTCACTCGTGGTTCTTCATACAAAAGGCAGTAGCAACACACCGAGAAGTGCAGGACCCCATATCAGGTTGTACGCATGGAACAGGTCAACCAAACGCGCACACATTGTCATCATGTGACTAGATGGAATGAATGTAACTTGTTTACCAAGTGCATTCCTACTAGCTTTGAGGCAAATTGTTTGTGATGGCTAGTAGTATAGTGAAGCTGTCGGAGCCAGTTTCAGGGGGACAACTGAACAGCTGACTGACATCCAGACCGAATTAACACAACTCACGGTCCCTCCACTATGTAGGAGTGACAAACCCCTCAGTATGGACAAAGTAGCGGCCACCACACTGCGAGATGACGCACAGAGAGAGGACTACGAAACCTGCATGGCAATCCGACTAGTCAGACGGAACTCACTGTAGGCTGACGGACTCTCGGCTACCCTACAGGTGACTTCCTGAAGAGACCATTGGCATCATGTCCCTGGGATTTGACCTCAACTGTCACTGCACACAAACACAGCAACCGCGATGCCCGATTTTACTTTGGAGGCGGAGCTCAGCCAGTTGATAGAGGGACATTAACCCATAACTTCTTTCTGGATTATAGGACAAACGACGGAGCTGCCAACGCATAAACCCCACCTGATAATAAAAGTCGAGACGAATAAGTACGCACAGACGCATCCGACCATTAATACGCTGCACCTCCCCAGCAAATGTCGTCAACACGCGAGACCAAAAGGCCGAGTACACTGAGCACTGCCAGCTGCAGATACCGTTGCCGATACTTGAGCCCGAAACAGCAGTTCTCACCAGATTCATATATACGCCTACTAGGGATTACAACTCAACTGGAAACTGACGGGTCACTGCACACAACTTAGTGGACACAAGTAATATGACAGAAGCTAATTGAACAATCCAGTGGTTTTTAATGGCTTCATCTAACCTACCTTAGTGCTTAGAGCCTGAATCCTCAACAAACCAACATAAGGTGTAAAGCTGCTTAATTCCCTCAAAAAGAAACTCGGCGGATCATAAGCAATGAGATGACAAATTAACAAACGATATCCAGGAGACCAGAAGACGTGATTGGTATTAATTATATTTCGGATAAAAAAGGCCTGATATGGCTTAAACATTTTTGGACTCGAAGTGAAATGCATTGTAAGCCTGCAAACTCCAACTTGATCAACGACTGCGGCTTCGGGAGAAACTTCTATGGTTTGACACAGATCTGAAAGAAAAGAACATTGAGAATAATGGCTAGGATAAAAAAATAAGTGGTAACCGTTACATATCGATAAGCTATGAAACTAGGCACTTACACGTTTAGGCATGAAGGAAAACAAGCTGTAGGTCTCTACGGATGTTAACTTTAGAGGCTGTCTGTAGTCACGACGACGATGTCGACGGCTCACAGATGCCGAGATGTAAGGCAGTTTATGCCCGCCGCAATGAAGTCAAAGATGCCAATTTTCGAGTGAAGTACCTATGGAGACCAGTCTTTTCATAGTACATTCCGTGTGCTAGTGACGAGTCACCGCTACGGAATTTAGAGCACCAGCATTTGACTGAGCTGTTACACTGCAAGATAGGATGCCGATATAGTCTAAGGATGTCGTACTTGGATGAAAAACTGATACAGCTGATAACGTATCATGGTAGCCGAGACGATACCAGACGACATGCGAGTAAGATGAATTACCTCGACCTTCTTCGGCCTTCAGGCCTGCTGCGTCCATTCGGACCTCCCGGCCCACCACCTCGACGACGGCAATCGTAGGCATAATGTCCGCGTTCTCCACACTCGTAACACCGATCTGTTGGGTCAAACGGTTTCATACGGCGAGAACCAATCCCATTATCACGTCCTCCACCATTACGCGCACCACCACCTCCACGTACCCACGGCTTCTGTCGCGACTTCCCAGTGCTCAGTTCAACACGGGCACGGACACCACACATGACTCTAAACATATTAGATGAAGTGACAAGTGTTCACTTACGTTCCGTCGAGTTCACGCACGGCATCACTGGCATCTGCGGCATCTTCAAATTCAACGAAAGCAAAGCCAGGTGGGTTCCTCGCAACCCAAACATTACGCAACCTTCCGTACTCCCGGAATATGCGTTCTAGTTCTCGTTCAGATGCCTCTCTAGGGAGGTCACCAATGTACACTTTCGTGCCAACATCTCGGTATCTGGCAGCCATTTCTAAAGGGTAACTTTACGATCGAGCAGGTACAAGTTTAAACAAAGTGCTCAATTCTCAATAAAAAAGCTATCGTCTGTCGTAATAAACGAATATGACAGGAGTTATATTGTACTGTTTAACTTTATCTCTATCACAAATATATAGAAATTATTTATAATTACGAATGATCAGGAAGTGCTTTAACATACAATCGGAACTAGTTCTTCAGTGTGTAACTTAAACATACCTAACGATGACTCTCTTCCATATTTTGTCTTGTCCGTTTTTGATTGCTTACTAGAAAAATGCTTTCTTCAGTGATTCGCCATACGTCTAGGAACAACACGAGGTTTTCTTTTTTCAAATTATTTTGCGGTTTACTGGAAAATGTTAGTACCCCATGATGAATTTGTAAAATTTTCTTCTAAGCTAAAATCTTAGGCAGACTGGCGATCCGGTAGGTCGGTCAATGTATAAATAACTATTTATCTCTTCTAATTAGAATCCATAGCTTCTGAGTAATGAGATGAATCTAAAGTACAAAATACTGTGGTGAGATCAGATAGCAACGTTCAAAATCTTTATTTTCATCTCGAGTCAAACATCATAGGGTTTTTGTAAATGTACTTACCCTTTGATGTTAACTACATCAAAATAGGCATTACAGGATTCAAAAGGGACAGTGAATAATAAACGAGGATAAGGGATATTTGAAAGCCAGTATTTATACAGATTCCTCGGTGAAAAATCTCCCATACTCTGATGGTTTTAGTTTCCAGGATGTTAGTACTACATATACCATACATTTAACTTACGAGGACTCCATGCAAACACTCAAAAGAAGCAGAATCTCGAGATAATTCACATTGCCATACCTTGAACACCTCCAAATCATGATAGTCAGGACTTCAGGTATAATCTTTAGGCCTTCTGTTTACAACGGTTGGCAAACATAAAGAGATGTTAGGTTGTTTGAGTGTAAAAATAAAAACACGTTTTCAAGGTAAAAGTGAGGAGTTGATGAAGCTTTATAAACAAACATCTGCTAGACATAAAATATTAATGTAAACTCACGACATCAGCTACTCTGGTTTCGCTCAAATTAACCATTAAAGACTCTAACGAAGAATAAAGGCCTACCAAATGACAAAGAATATATTATCAAAACACTGTAAATTCTGAATTGGCGTTTTCCGTCGAACAAGATCTCTTTGACTTAGTAAAATAAATCACTTCTTAAGCCCTGGCAAATAATTCGCTCTCGATGACGAGGTGCTAAGTAATGGCATAATTCCTGTTGTTAGGAAGCATCGATGAGAATGCTATCTCAAGGAGTCTAACTGAAGTGTTTAACTTAAACGTCAAAATGCCATCGAAGTGCCCTTAAAAATTAAATGGATGAGTTTTATTACTGTTAGAGACTAGGCAAGTGTACTGACAATTCGAGGTAAAATAGAGGCTTGACACCATGTTCAAAAACACTTAAAGAATGTGAGCAATTCAGTGTCTAAGGAATACATCTAATAAAGTGTTCTTGAAACACGTGGTTTGCCACCAAGGCATTCGAAGAACCTTCGAATTGATTGGGGGGTTATGATGACAAGTTGCATGGATTAGCAATATAACCTGGCTGGTAGTTTGCGTTGGGATTTGTTGAACTTAAAGGAACCACAGACAATTATATTTCGCTCGGAGAAACCCAAACATTGAGACTATAACTTATGGACTAATCGATTAGATTTCGGATAACTGGTTTTGGATTTTGGCCGCAAATTTATCCATTCCTCTGGCTAAGTACTATTATGGCATTATAGCTGATATCAGTTCGTAACGAAATCTATAAATCGAATTCCTAGCCCTAACCATCAACTGTGAACCATAATTATGATTCTTCACACTGCTATATAACCTTTAGTCCTAGTAACTATGTTGGCATTTTCAAGGTCATCTTAGTGCTACCTAAAGTTCGCTCATAAATTATGGTCTCACCACCCAAACTCCTAGGGTTTTATGGCTATTCTCCTAAGCTGTACATTTCAGTGACCTTTTGATCCTGGATGTCACCAGTTTTTTATTGCATTTTTGATTTTCTCACATTCCCACTAGATTTACATGATTTTTACGAACTATATCTACACTGATTCCGATTTTACTTCTTGAACTGACTGGAATTGTCCATTTTTCATCGTGGATTGAAGTACGTTTCCAAGACTCATTGTTGTAACAAGTAATTAGGCTTATAATTTTGAATACCCTTGCCAACGATGTCTTTATTGATTTAGACCTAGTCCTTTTAACGAACTGAAATGGTACTTGTAGTACTAAGGTCTGGGTCTGTTTTAGTAGACGGACCTATGCTACACGAACAGTAGACCTAATCAAATATTATGAACTTGTCATTACATGAATACCTAATCTATAAGATCCTATGTTAAAGTGATATCATCGTATATACTGGCTAATCATGTTGTGACATTCGGAGTTTGTGTTGTTATAACCTTTGAAGAACACATTTGGGCTGGAGATAGGGTAATGTATTTGATATAAAAACCAACATGATAAGCATGGTGGCCGTGCCTTCATAGCCTAACCAAACTGTCTCGATTAAGTGTTCCCGGGATCAACATTGCTGACCTCAAAGCGCTCAACGACCAGTGTAACTCTTATCAGTTATTGTATTTTCAGCTTCAAATATCGTATTTCTGAATATCAGTGTTGCAAGTGACTAAACTTACAATTCATGATATTACTATAGTCGATATTTTTATATAGTTGAATATTACCATTAGAAATAACTATACATGACCTACCCAGAAAGTGTAGAATAATGTTCGTGCATTAATGGAAGTGTTTATTTTTCAAAACTGACAATTATGGTTTGTAAGATTTGCTTAGGTGATAAATTAACATAGGAATGACCCCTGTTAACCATCGTGGAACAAAAGCCTTCGACCAGGATTCCCCAACTAACTCTGTCTAGGACTCTTCTTTCTGGTTGTTTCCAAGTCTTACTCATTCTGTAGATCATCAACGATGATGATATCTGCTGAGTGATTCGGGCCTACTCGAGTTAGACGAGAACGATGTGACGAACCAGCTAACTTTGAAGTCACACACCGCTGTCAGAATCTAACATGGATTACCCCTTCAACGTCTCAAAGTACTATGGCTGCTTTGAAGACCGTATAACACAAAGGACGTTTTTACGTAAATATATTAGTAAGAATAAGTACAGAGTAGTTAGTGTGATTATCACCACATGGGTTAGTCCATGGCGTATGATTAACTGTTGCACGTTGGTTTTCCTTCACTTTGACAGAGATCGATGATCTGTTTGATATCCAATGACCCAATTGCCGGATGATTTGGTTAGGGCTCAGTAACATTTCACTGCCCCTGCAATTCTTTCGACGTCTGTCTCCAATTACCAACTCAATGTGTCCTTTAGTCTTTCTTTTTCCTTTTGCTTTCGGGATTCAAAGTTACGGGCTGGCCCGTGATCAATCTCGATGATTCTCAGAATATATGTCTTATCCACCTCGAGCTTCTTTTCCTAATTCCCTCCTCTGCTGGAAGTTGGTTTGTTCTCTTCAACAGTAGGCTATTGCCGATGGTTTCCGGTCAACGGACTTTGAGTTTCATGCGTAGACAAGTATTCATAAATATCCATACATTTTGATGATGTTGATTATCATTTCAGGTACACTATATTGTCGAAGAAGTTTCCAGAAGGTTCTCCTATCCACACTGTCGAATGCATTCTTATGGCCATCGAAGTTGATGTGCATTGACGAGTTCCATTCAGTTGATTGTCCATCGATGATCTGCAGCGTGGCAATTCGGTCTGTATACAATTGATCCTTACGGAGTCTGTTCTGTTGACATTGAAGTCGGACATCTACTAAGTATTTTGTTTGGTTCAACAACACTGTTGAAAATTTTTCCTGGTACTGATAGTTACGTGATGTCTCTTTAATTTGCACATTTCCTCAGACCTTCTTTCTTTGATAAACAGATGAGGTATCCTTCTTTTTAGTCCGTCGGTACTTGTTCTTCCTCCTGAATCCCCTTGAATAGAACGTGAAGCATAATTACAGTTACTTCTATGTCTGCGTTCAGTGTTTCGACAGGTTTTGTTCAATGCCCTACCCACCTGTTCCTCTGTTCTTGGATCTCAGTGTTTGACTTCCCTTCTTTGTCCTCGACCGATCTCCTCGGTTTACTATATTTCCATGACGGTTTCGTCATAGGGTTGTTTCATAGCTTCTTCTCTTGCTTTCTTTCGTGTCATTGTTAGGACTTCCACATGTTTCTGCTTGTCACCCCTAATGCTCTCCTTCACTTGCTTGTTCGCCTCTCTGTATTTAGCTTCTGCCTTCACTTTCTCTGCTCTTGTTCGGCTGTTTTTCATTGCTGTTTTCTTGTTCTTCCTCCCTCGAATCTTGTCTAAGATTTCCATCGAAATACATTATTTGTGGTGATGCTTCTTGTAGCCTAGAACCTTCTGATACGTTGAAGTTAGTTCTTCTTCGATCTTTTTCCGATTGTCCTTTATTGGACTTTCCTCTTTTTTGACTGGATCTTGTAAGGCTTGGAATATGTTGTTGAGAACTATCTTGAATTCGTTGAGTTTGTCAGTATGTCGAAGGAAGGCTGTGTTGAGTCTTTGTAATGCCGTTTCCCAGTTGTTTTTTGTCTCTTTCGCTTCAATTTCATCTTGCGAATCACCAGGTGATGATCTGAAGCTATGTAAACTCTTATTCTGGTTCCCACGTCTTACATTGGCCTTGTGGGGTTTTCACAGGTGTAAATATGATCTATCTGGTTTTTTGTGGTGTTACCTGGCGAGACCCATATAGCTTTATGTATGCGTTTGTGTGAGAATATTGTGCCCATATAACTATTTTGTTGAAGGCATACTAATTTACAAGTCCTTCACCATTCTCGTTCCTTTCCCCTAGCCAGCCCATTTCATCTTATGATATATTTATGCCTGGTGTTGTCTATTCCGACTTTGGCGTTCAAGTCACCCATCACAATGGCCACGTCCTTTCCTGGGCACTTCGCTATGATCGATTGCAGCCTCTCGTAGAACTGATCTTTATAGTTGTCATTGTTATCATTAGTGGATTAATAACACTGAATAACATTCACTGTGATTCTCTCCTCCTTTGTCTTGAGGAATGAATTTATTGTCTCGGGTCCA